CAATGGCAATGGCAATGGCTTTTTCATATATATATATAAAGAGAATACTAAAACCTACGGTCCAAATGTTCTTCCAATATCAACCAAATCCTCCATGTCGACAGGCTCATCTACAAGGTGGGGATTGGGCTTCACTTAATCTAGAATGTAAGCACATACACAACAGAAGTCAGATTTTGTTGAGATTATAACTAATGGGAAAATAAATTCTGAGCTCAGTTGTTCAACCACCTTAAGGTATGTGATCTGCATATGCAGTCTAAAAGTGAAGATGCCATCTCAAGTTTTCAATAAAATATTTACTAAGCTAAATGCAAACAAAGTCATCATCACCAAAATTGCATCCATCATTTTTTTTTTTGGAATAAAAAAACTAGTCATTCATTATCATCTATGAATTTGCCAAAAAGTTGCAGCATTTAAAGGATGAGAATAGCCTCTAAATGAATGCAAGAAGTATAGGGATAAGAGTATGGCAGCAAGGGTAGAAATGTTAAAGATCTTAATGTTGGATTGATGCCCAAGTCCCAGGAATTAGCAGATTGACTTTAACTTTTTCGGTGAGAAAATTCAAGGAAATGCCAGCTGAGAAGGAGAGGAAAAGCAAAGCTAAATCAAGGATAAAAGAGAGCATATGATAACAGACAAGTCTCTCTATTGCAAATCACGTGAAGAGGATAGTAATTTACATTTAGCTTTGTCAGTCAAAACCAGATTAATGTCAGTATGAATGAACTGTTGTGTCACGGTGTAGAATGTATGACACTTATTCACCGTGCACCACCAAAAACTTTTATCTCAGATTAAGTTTGGGATAGAACAGCATAAGTTATTGAGAGCCTAAAGTCTTGATTGTGCAACGTTGATCAAAATGGAAAGCAATGCCTTTTCAAGCATTTTGCAGATAGATTGCCAAAGTAAATAATCGAAGATGGATTCAAGCATAATCATAGAAATGCGCAATGTATAGTTTACCTTCAACACGCGAATAATGGGATGATTGATACTTTCCCGTTTTCTGCAAATAAGATGGCAAGTATTATTCTGTACTTTTCCACGCAGTAAGCTGACTTCCTCATGAACGCATAACTGTTCTCGAGAGCCGAATATCACCGTTTTAGGCCTTCATATTCTTTAAAGTTTAGCTAGTTGAAACCCGATAACCAGACCAATTCATTGAGCTTGTCATAATATAAAGACTACTACGCCGACATTTGTTGAAAAAGAAGCCAAATGCCCTTACTATTATTCGGAAAGAATATGCAAATACTCACTGTAAAGACATTGGCTTTCATCAAATTAGACTAGTACAGTTGACAGTGATAAACAAAAGCAACACGTCAAGAAACCAAATTCAATTCCATCCACTATTAATTATTTTGACTGCAAAAGAAATCGAAAAAATGAACTTCAACCTGTAGCTGCTCCTCTTGAATCTCTTGCCGAAGCTGGCTATGCATGCTTGAAGCATACACTATAATAGGAAGAGTACCATCTTCGGGTGCTGATGATCGCACAAAATCCGATTTACTACCCGCAATCCGACCATTCCTTTGATCTTACCCGTTGAAAATCCACCTAAACTCTTCCTCCAGGCCAAGGAGGGACAAAGAAGGCATGTAGTTTTCCCTGTTGCCGCTGGACTCTCCAGAAGTGCATTGCATCTCTGAAGTTTTTTTAACAAACAGCATACATTTGATAAATTAATTAAAATGCGCAAATCAAACGCATTTTTTTCAATAGTTGGACACAGAGGAAATAAATTTTGATTTTTTTTAATGGCAGTGTTACCAGAAGCTAAAAATGGTGATGGCTGAAATGTTCAAGGTAGCAATGAAACGGCAGCGTTTCTGTATTTGAGTACTTACGTTTTGAAGAGACTGTATGATTTTTTTCCGTGTAAACGAGATGGCAATCGTCGGCCTCGAACGGGAAATCAACGTCGATTCTCCTTATCTTGTAGGTCGCCATTTTCCTTTTCCCAGCTCTGTTTGGTTTCGGAGAAAGCTGTCGATGGTCTTGGATGCTCTGCCTCGAAATGGTAAGCCAGGGATTCCCCGCCCATTCCGCTTGTCTTTAACCACTGTCGTTTCGTTATTTTTTTTCTTTTACTGGATTATTAGGTCCTTCACTAGTTAAATTATTGATCATTGTTGTAAAATTTTATTGTGCTTGTACAGTAATTAATGATATTTTATTAATTAATTTTTTATTTATTAAAAAAAAGATAACTACAGAGAAAAGAGAAAATATATCTATAATTTATCTATACTAATTATATTTTTTTTTGTTTCTTTAAAGTTTATTTATGAAATAACTAATAGAATATTAAAATATATTTATGATTTATCTATACTAATTATATTTTTTTATTTCTTTAAAGTTTACTTGCAAAATAACTAATAAAATATTATTAGTTACTATGTAAATATTATAAAATTACTTATAATTATTGGATCCTTTTATTATTGGCCATTGTTAAAGTTGTTGTTGCTTAAGTTTTAATATTGTATTATGTGTGTATAGTACTTTAAAAAGAAAAATACTAGTACTTGTATGGTTATTCTTTATTTGGATTCCTATTATATATATTAATTTCATATATTATTTAAATTTGATATTAAACTACAGAACAAATTCAATTATACTATTTAAAAAACTTATAGAATTGAATTAAATTAATAATCTTGATTATTTTACCTTTAATTCAGAAATCATTTCTTTTTATTAAAAAATATTTTTTAATTTAAAAATAGAATTTATATATTATATTATGATAATTTATGATGCATGGCAACAAGTAACATTAAAATGCATTGCGTAGAGATTATTAAAAATAAATTATTATACTAATAACCATAGTGATGAATCAAGATTTTATCATTTTTTTTTTGACACAACAATTATAAAATTTATATGTTTATTTTCAAAACACCTTTAAAAAGGCTTGGGTGCTCAAATGCTAGGCAAGCCCAACACCTTCAAATGAACTCGGACATATCACCCAAGCCCAGCTTCAAGAGGTAGATTTTGATCTTTTTTTTAAACCCAAAAAAATGTCCAGGGTCTTTTTTTCTTCTTTCCTTTTTTTTTCGCTTGTGTAAGAGATATTTTTTTTATTAATGAGCATTGATGCTTTGTGTAATGGATATTTATCCCTCGGTAATATTTATTAATGTTTGTGTAAGAGATATCCCTCCCCCATTAATGCTTATGTAAAGAATATTTATTCCTCATTAATATTATCATGATGAAATTACTCTCCAACTCCTCTACCCGTAAAAAAAACAAGAATTAAGGGCTATAAATATCTCTTAAACTACTAGGTAAAAGGTTAAAATAACATAATTTCAACACAAGAACAACCTAAATTTCATAACTTAAAGCTCTTTAAGCATATTTATACTCTTTTTTTTATAAGTTTATTGATTTTACTGATAGTCCTCCAACACCCAAAAAAAAAAAATTTCACAACTACCTAAAGACATTCATCAAGAGAGTATTCCTTAACATTAGTCAAGGGAGATATTTAAAGAGACATTTAACCGATCCATGTTTCAATTATCAAGAAACCTTGCTCCATAAATATATTTGATTTTTATATTTCATTAATTGGTGTTGTTTGTGGGAAACTGATCAAGAAACTGTTAATTTTTCTTTATATAACTTGTTATTAACGTATCAGATCACTCATGGCAAATAATCAAGACATGTGCAGGCTTGGACATGTAACTAATCAATCTACTTATGTGAATACTTTTACCCAGTCAGACTTTCAATAGCTTGGACATGTAACTATTCAAGTACGACTCTAGACTTAAGCGATACCAGCTACTTAGAGGCAGAATCAAGTCGTATCACTCCAACAAGTCTCAGTTATCCCAATAACATTAGCACCTTCAATAACAATTGGGAATAAAAAACCACCATAAAAAGATGCTTCTAATGCCCACAAACAATCATATCACTCTCAAAACTCTAGGGAAAATGACATTTCAGAAAATAACTCGCATCAACATCTATCAAGTCTCATTTCACGACACCACAACTCCTCACACCAAGTTTAAAAACTTCCACTTCCACTCTTTACACCAAGTTTTTAAGAGAAATATTGGAAAGAGATTTCAAGTGAGTAAAAATAAAATGAATGGAGTTTTTACCCTCTGTCGAATCTGTGACACATGTCATCACCGTGACAAACCCACAAAAAAGCAATTAATACCTTCATGAAGCATTATGCTAGGTATTTATTCAACCAAGGTAATCAATAATTCAGCTATAAATGTTGTCTAACATATACAAGCTCTAGTAAAACACCTCGAGATGCCCCTACTTTTCTTATATGAAGAAATGTTGAAAGTAGAATAATATTTTTATCAAGTCTCCCCAATAAAAATATCACATAGATTTAGAGGGCTAATGATAGATCAAGATTTTATCCTTTTTCCATTAACAATAAACCTATAAAAGTCATGGGCTTATTATTTTTATTTTTATTGCTCATTTTCAAACCACCTTTGAGGGGCTCAAATGCCTAGATAGCAGGCACACCTAATAACTTCTTATAGGCTTAGATGCACCACTCGAGCCTAATATCAAGGGGTAAATCTTAGTCTTCTTTTCAAACCCAAAGACTTTTGGGTTTTGTTTTTTTTTTCTTTTTTTTGTTTGTGTAAAAGATATAAACCTATTAATAAGCATTAATGCTTGTATAAAAGACATTTATTTCTCATTAATGCTTATGCAAGAGATATCCCTCCATATTAATATTTGTATAAGAGATATCTATCTCTCATTAATAATTATGTAAATGATATTTATCCCTTATAAAATGTTATTATGATAAAATTACTTTTTAGCCCCTTTATACAAGAAAAGGACAAGGATCAAGAGCTATAAATACCTCTTGAGCTATCAGGTAAAGGGTTCAAGTTTTTTACATTTAAAAAATATAATTCCATTACAAGAGCAACTGAAATTTTATAACTTAAAGCTCTTTAAATATATTTATAATTTTTTTCTTTATAAATTTTTTGATTTTATCATCAGATGATCTTCAAACATCCTAAAAAAGGATTTTATACAAGTACCCAAAGACATTCATCAAAAGAATTTTTCTTAATATTAGAGAATGAAGCTATTTAAAAAGACCCTTAACCAATCCATATTCCAGCCACCAGAAAACCTTATTTCATAAATATATTTGATTTTTATACTTCATCACATGGATATTATGACAAATATTACAAAAAAAAAACTACATGTCCATTATAGTGGCAAACTAAAATATAAAAAAATAAGATATTGAGCATTCAAATTTACAAACTATGAGATGTGACATAAATGAAATTCTACCATGTTTTCCTTATTACTAGCATAAGTACATGGAATAGCTACTGGACAGTGTGGATTTGATGAGGGATGATGTACATGTATTGTTTATCATCCTATAAAGATGGATACAAGTGCAAATGACTGCATGCTAATTGTTATCAAGATTTTCTCGTAGCTACTCTTTTGTAATATAAGTTGTTTGGGTTAGTCCACATCTTTTAACTAAATATAGTTTCTTGCAAATATATCATAGTATTAAAGCAGACAAGCTAAAAACACTAGTAATGAATTCATCTAATCTCTATCAAGTAGTTGGATAAACAACCTTACATAACTCTGCTCCAGACGTGCCAAAGCATGATCAACAATATTAGTTGTTACTAATATTAATGTTGATTGTAGAAAAATTATAAGCAACAATAGAAGTTGTATTTTTCCAAGAAATAAACATTGAATTTTCATGGGAAAGAGTAATATATAATGAATGAAGAACTTGAATATTTGGGGTATTTTAGAGAAAAAAGAAAGGCATACTTTATGAATAGTATTTGTGATTTAGAATTACTTTGCAAGCTGTTTGGAACCCTTATAGTTAAATTCAATTTTAACGGATAATTCAATTCAAGTGTTCAGAATTTATTGATTTGAATTTCATTTGAAATTCAAATAACAAAAAAAAAAACAGGCGAAGATAAATCAGATGGGAGATCCTCTAATTTGCTACAGTAATTCAAGATAAAAAAAATATTATTCTAAGAAAACCCCTATTTTTTTTCTCTCAAAACCCTACACCTATTGCTTCTTTTTTTATGCATAACGTTGTTATATTCAAGGAAAAGATACTACTCAAGACCAAATCAAAACTTATTTGATTGATATCATGTTGATTGCTACTAAGCACTATACCAGCAGCTAGAACATGTTGGAAGTTACAAAAAAATAACATCATCTAGGATCAAGACTTGGTAAGCTAGGGAGCGATTAGAAATAAAGATAGCCGGGTGTGGAGAGATGTAAAGGGTAGCCATGGGTTGAGCTTTTAGGTGAGGGAATGAAGGGTGTAAATCAGAGGGAGCCTATTTTTTATGATTTGAATTCCATTTGAAATTCAAATTAATATCCTTAAAATGATTCTACACACAAGAATTAATGCAACTATTGAAATAAAATTCAATTCCAAGTATTTCAAATACCCTGTAAAAAAATATTTTGTTGCTTGTAAATTAAGGAATAATCAATTGGTTTTGTAACTTTGCAAGGTTTAAACAAATTAATGTATGCTTTATTGAATATTGGTTTTAAAATCAATTGGTATTTTGGATTTTAGATTTCACAATTTTAATTTAAATATTAGTTTTCATTTAATTGTTTATAATTTTCTCTTATATTTTCTATCTTATTTTAAAATAATTTCAGACATACATGTTAAATATTTATATTTATCTAGATAAATACAAATAACTAAAATAGAAGTTTTTGGATCAATCATGAGAGACTGCATTAAATTACCTTTCATAGAACTTGGTGTTTAAACATTTAGAGAAATGATATGAGATGTAAAATTAGGAATGTTATTAATAAAAGCTAACACCCATTTGAAAAATGCTATTCATTCATACCTATTTTCTTATTTTCTTTTATTAGAACAGTCTAATGATAATTTTGTTCCTCCACCCAAATAATTTAACACTAATTTTTAAGGGTATTGAAGATTTTTTACATAGTACATTATTTATTACTAAATTGACTAGTGGCAAATAAGTTTTTTTTTCATTTTAATTGCATAATGAAATAATAAAAAAAAATTTTGAAGGAAAAAAATAAAATTGATGTTAATGAGCATTTTCTTTTTATTTTTACAATATTTTTTCATTATTATAATGTTGAGAGGTAATTCTATATTTAACCAAATTTAAAAAATTTAAAAATAAAACACAAAAATACCCCCCAGAGCTTTAAAATTGGTGTTAAAGAGTTTTTCATATTTTTACAAATAGTTTTTTTATTATTAGAAAGTCATCTTAGAGATAATTTGATATTTAATTAAATATCAAAAACATTTTTAAAATAAAAGCATAAAGATGACACATGTATGTAATATTTCTTGACATCTAAAAATATCCTTTTAGAGCTGTTGCATTTTTAATTGGCGGCAACATGTGTTGACAATGATTGTCTAATTTATTATTAGTGAGTCTTTTTTTTATATCTTTCCTGAAAATTATAACTTGTCTCTCTTTATTGCTAGAGTTTCAATTTCAGTTTTTACTTTTTTAATTTTATATTTTTATTCTTAGATTTTTTATAAAAATTTTATATATTATCAATTATATTCTTCAATTTCAATTTGCTATATACTATGTTTTCCAATTTGGTACTTCTTTTTTACTTTTTATTAAATTAATTTTCTTTTTAATTTGACTATTCAATTAAAAATTTACTTTTATTTTTAATTTTAATTTTGATCCTTGTTTTATTTTTTATCTATTTTTTAATTATTTTTATTTTTAATTTTATTATTCATCCAAAAATAAAATTATTTTGTATTTAGAAAAAGCCATGACATGTAGCTTGACAAGTCAAACACATGCTAGACTAACAGTATACCATTACGAAAACTCCACGTACTAGTAGATGTTTCTAGAACCACGAAAAAACAATAGCCACGCTCTAGAGTCTAGACATCTCTCCAATTCTGTTCAGACGGCCCCATCTCAAGTCTTCGTCCCCACCAATCGAATTATATTATAATTTCTTATTATAAATTTACAATGTATAATAACTTCTAAATACCTTTTTATTTTTATTAATAACTTCAAAAAATACCTTGCAAAATTGATTTATATTATAAGAAAAACATATATTTAAAGAACGTTTGGTAACATAGTTGCTCATGCAGTATAACTTGTATTTATTTTTAAATGAAAAATACAAATTACATTATTGGTCTAATCATTTTCCAAACGGATATATTGTACAATATTTTAAATTTAATATATATATATATATTACATTTAATTTTAAATTTTAAAAATATAAATTTGTTTTTTTCGTAGAAAAATAAATGAAAAAAATAATTAAAAAAAAAGGAAATTTCCACATAATATAAACAAACCCAAGCTTTGCCTTTGAAAATAAAAAGGAGAGAGAAGCAGGCCTCCTCTCCATTTCATTCCCTTGTGGGTTTTTCATTTAACCTCTCCTTCTCTTCTCTTGTATAACGAAAAGATATTTCTAGAACCGCCCAAACACTTCTTCTCTCCCTCTCTCTCTCTCACCCTCCATCTGCTTTTTAAAGGTACGACGCCTTCTCCATAACCCTATATTTATTTCCTTCTAAACACGCCTTGGACAGCGTATCGTCAATAAGCTATCAAATCTCTGATTTTGTGTTTTCTTTCTCTTCAACCTTTTTATAGATCTGTGAGTTTCTCTTTCTAGGTTTGGCTCAAAAGATTTATGATTTTTTCATTGATCGTAGTGTTTTGTTTTTGATCGAGCCTCTCTCTGTTAGATTCAGTTGATTATTTTTTCAATTGTTTTCTATTGTTTTAGGTTACTGAATAATAATTAATAGCAACAAACTATTATGATGCCTTTAGGCTTATTTGTGGTATAATTCATGAATTAGTAATTGAATTTATTTATTTTTAAGGATTTATTTATTCAACTGGGTTTAAGGGTTTTGCAGGTATTGCCTCATGCTAATGGTAGGAAGTTGTAGATTTCTTTCAACATGTTGAGGCTGTGTGCTTGCCTTCTATGTTTTCTATCTATTATAAAATAAAGAAAAGTAGGAATCTTTTTGATAATGTGCGTGTTCTGGTTCTAGTCTTGGGTTCATTGAAACTTTATAATGTTGTGTTTTACTCTGATTCTATGATTGTTGGGATTATTGGTACTGATTCATGCATTGCTCGATCATCTTCTGTGATGATTATGTTATTTTTCTTATTTTTTATTGGCATTGTTTTTGATTTATTGTTGTTTTTTGCAGGTTGCCACATAACTTATAGGGATAATTGATTTATAAATCGGTAATTGTTTTTGGCAATCATGAGTGTGGTGGGTTTTGATTTTGGTAATGAGAACTGCCTTGTCGCTGTTGCAAGGCAAAGAGGGATTGATGTTGTGCTTAATGATGAATCCAAGCGTGAGACTCCTGCTATTGTCTGTTTCGGTGACAAACAGAGGTTCATTGGGACTGCGGGGGCTGCCTCCACTATGATGAACCCCAAAAACTCAATATCCCAGATTAAGCGGTTAATTGGGCGCCTGTTTTCTGATCCTGAATTGCAAAGGGATCTGAAGTCATTTCCTTATACAGTCACTGAAGGTCCTGATGGATTTCCTTTAATTCACGCTCAATACTTGGGTGAGATGAGGACATTCACACCTACCCAAGTCTTGGGAATGGTGTTTGCAGATTTGAAAATCATAGGCCAGAAAAATCTGAATGCAGCAGTGGTGGATTGCTGCATTGGTATTCCCGTATATTTCACTGACCTTCAAAGGAGGGCTGTCTTGGATGCAGCCACAATTGCTGGATTGCATCCTCTCCGTTTGATGCATGAGACCACAGCTACAGCACTGGCTTATGGTATTTATAAGACTGACTTGCCTGAGAATGACCAATTGAATGTTGCTTTTGTTGATGTTGGACATGCCAGCCTGCAAGTTTGCATTGCTGGATTCAAGAAAGGTCAACTTAAGATTTTGGCTCATTCTTATGATCGGTCCTTGGGTGGTAGAGATTTTGATGAGGCTCTGTTCCACCACTTCGCCACCAAGTTTAAGGCAGAGTATCACATTGATGTTCTCCAGAATGCGAGAGCATGTCTTAGGCTTAGGGCTGCTTGTGAGAAGCTGAAGAAGGTCCTTAGTGCCAACCCTGAGGCACCTCTTAATATTGAATGCTTAATGGATGAGAAGGATGTCAGAGGCTTCATTAAGAGGGAAGAGTTTGAACAAATTAGTACTCCGATATTGGAGCGTGTGAAGAGGCCTCTGGAGAAGGCACTTCAAGATGCTGGACTTGTAGTTGAGAATGTTCATATGGTTGAAGTGGTTGGCTCTGCTTCTCGCATACCTGCCATAATGAAGATTTTGACTGAGTTCTTTGGAAAGGAACCTAGGCGTACAATGAATGCTAGTGAATGTGTTTCCAGGGGATGTGCACTACAGTGTGCTATTCTCAGTCCCACTTTTAAAGTGCGAGATTTCCAGGTATAATTTTCTTAACCTGTTTTTTATTAGTCTCGTTTACGATATGATATTTTGGTGTTGAACTTACCTAACTTGATCATAGCATTTGATATTATTCACCTAGTCTGCAACTTTGGCATCTTATATGTCTTGTTTACTAAATGCTGGGATTGGAGCTTTTTTAATCCATGCATTGTTAAGATTTCACAAAGGCAAAAGAAAACTTGCAAGGTTTTATGTCCTGGTTGCTATACATTTTCTCCAATGAAAAAGATGAAAGGGCAAAATCTGTTTTTTCTTTTCGTTGTTCATATGCTATCTTGTATGGTTCTGTTTGCGAAACTTGACCTTTATAATGCTTTACACGTTTAGAGGATAAGACCCAGCATAAAATCAATAAAATCTAAAAGAAAGAAAAATTTGAAGTAGTTAAGGTCATCAGCAGGGTTATATAGCAAACTTTAATCGCTGTCTCCTGTTATAAATCTCTTGTACGTTATTAATGTAGTTAGTCCCACTGTTGTGCACATGTGAATGTGTGTGCTTGTGCTGAGATGTGGGTCTTTTGGGAACTTTCATGTTTATATCCCTAGTTTTCTTTGGTCGTCTTATGCAGTTTTGTATGATTGCGCGTTGCTGTAGATGCGTTGTATAAGTTATTGTAGACACTTCTGAGTCATTATGGATGACAAATGTTTATGGCATGGCAACATTATCTGTTGCCTAATGTTCTTCTGTTTGCCTGTGTTCTGGTTCTCAGTAATCAGAATTCTATGAGGTGCATTGCTTGCTCAAATTGTTGATTGTTCCCTTTTCAGGTCCATGAATGCTTCCCATTTTCAATTGCTGTATCATGGAAAGGTGTGGCACTAGATTCTCAGAATGGAGCAGCAGATCATCAACAGGGCACGATTGTCTTCCCTAAGGGAAATCCCATCCCTAGTATCAAGGCTTTGACATTCTATAGGTCAGGGACGTTCTCCATTGATGTACAATATGCTGATGTCAGTGATTTGCAGGCACCAGCTAAGATCAGTACATATACGGTACGAATTTAGCATGCTGTATTCAAGTCACAATTTTTTAATTTATGTGATCTTAAGGGCATTAATTTTAGTGTTATACTTGGTCATATGAACTTGACTTGCAGATCGGTCCTTTCCAATGTACAAAAAGTGAACGTGCAAAAGTGAAGGTGAAAGTCCGTTTGAGTCTACATGGGGTTGTGTCTGTTGAATCAGCAACAGTAAGTCTTGCAGAGTGGTTGTGATTCTAATTGAGCTTATTAGTGGTGATATATGTACCAAACGTCAATTGTTTTATGCTTATGTCAGCTTTTGGAGGAAGAAGAGGTTGAAGTTCCTGTTGTGAAAGAGCCAGCAAAGGAACCTACCAAGATGGATACTGATGAATCTCTTAGTGATGCTGCTACTACAGGCCCTAATGAAGCAGATGACAACATGCAAGAAGAAAAGGCAGCTGCTGATGCATCTGGGGCTGAAAATGGGGTTCCTGAGTCTGACAAGCCAACACAAATGGAAACTGATACCAAGGTCAGTTAGCCCTTACAATTTAGGAATCTTCATACATTAGATTTCAGTTGTGCAGTCATAATCTCGGAGAACAACTTTTCCTTTCAATACACGTATTCATAGATAGAGGTTTCTATAATAACCTTTTCCCTTGCTTCAGGTTGAGGCTCCCAAAAAGAAAGTAAAGAAAACAAATATCCCTGTGTCGGAGGTGGTTTATGGTGGAATACCTGCAGCAGAAGTGCAAAAGTTACTAGAAAAAGAGTATGAAATGGCATTGCAAGACCGGGTAATGGAGGAAACAAAAGATAAGAAAAATGCTGTTGAAGCTTATGTCTATGATATGAGGAACAAGGTAGAGTTTAATCTTTTACTCTATTGCAAGACTTCTTAGCACCCTTCCAAAAGTGAGATGTTAACTATGCTTTTTGTAATTTCAGTTGAGTGACAAATACCATGAATTTGTTCCTGATCTGGAGAGGGAGGGATTCACAGCTAAACTGCAGGAGACAGAGGATTGGTTGTATGAAGATGGTGAAGATGAAACCAAAGGTGTTTACATTGCCAAGCTTGAGGAGCTCAAGAAAGTAAGGACTCTTTTTGAAAGTGTCTGTTGACATATTCTCCTTACCCTGTGAGGAAGGGGGTGTTTGGTTATTGCTCATGTGCATGTGTAATGATGTTAATGGTTGCAGCAAGGTGATCCTATTGAAGAGCGGTACAAGGAGTACACAGATAGGGGACCTGTGATTGATCAACTTGTTTATTGTATTAATAGTTACAGAGAGGCAGCAATGTCTGGTGATCTTAAATTCGATCACATTGACATGGCAGAAAAGCAGAAGGTAAAGGCTTATTAGATCTTTGTACAAGGTTGTTTGTGGTGAAAGTGTCAACTAAAGGTGCTATCTTGATTGATATGTGATAGGTATTGAATGAGTGTGTTGAAGCTGAAGCCTGGTTAAGAGAGAAAAAGCAACACCAGGACTCACTTCCCAAGCATGCTACTCCAGTTCTTCTGTCAGCTGATGTGAGAAAGAAGGCTGAGGCGCTTGATAGGTATTGTTGTTTTATCTTCACTTCAAGTGCTTTCTTATCGGGGAACTTATCTGATACTATCTGGCAAAGATACAGCTGCTTTTCCTTGCCTTATTAGGGTGAGAGTTTGGTCAAGCATTAAGAATAGAATGTTTGTTTCTGCAGGTTTTGCAGGCCTATAATGACAAAACCAAAACCAAAACCAGCCAAACCAACCACTCCTGAGACACCAGCAACCCCACCATCTCAGGGTAGCGAACAACAACAGCAGGGAGGAGATGCAAATGCAGACCCCAATGCTAACGCTGGTGCCCATGAGACTGCAGGAGCTGCCGGTGGTGAGGTGCCACCTGCTTCTGGAGAACCAATGGAGACAGACAAGTCAGAGACTGCCTCTGGTGCTGCATAATTCCATGCAGCTCCCTGCCGTTTTAAATTAAGAAATTTGGTTCCTCTGTATGAACTATAAGGAGCCTGAGACGGACTATTTGATGGGCTGACAGTATGCGAGGATGTGGGGTCTTTGAGGTCTTGCCTTTTATCTATAAAGCCTTCAGATTGGGTGGTCTGTCAATTTTATCGAGAGCTAGTCTCTAGAATCCGGTTTTAAAGAAGGGGTTTAAGAGAAATATGTAATACTTTAAATGTCTTTGCTGGGGAGAGACCGAGGTTTCTCTGTTTTTTTCTATGATCGGTATTTTAATTGTCCACTCTTCTCCATTCCCTTGGTCTGTAGGATATCCTCAGCATTAAATATTGGTTTGTTTTCTCATTTTTCGTAATATAAATTTTTTAACTTTGCTTACAAAGCAGTTTGCCTGATTCTATTTCGTCTTGATTCCAATTTTTCAGATTCTGATTTTAAGGGTTGGGAAGTGTTCGATGTATTTTTTTAAATATATTAAAATAATATTTTATTACTTTTTAAAAATTATTTTTGAAAGTAATATTTTTAAAATGATTTTAAAATATAAAAAAACATTGTTTTTTAAGAAATTCTGTGTAGAATAATTCTAAACGGCCTTTAAATGTCCGAAATCCGAAACACGAGGCTCGCTTTGTTGCATGCATCATGACGACAAAAATTTCCACAGGCGGTTTATATTATAATTGTTATAACAAAAGCTAAACGATATCAGATATTTACTGTGGCCTGTGAGTTATTCTACTGTGGATTCAAGCAGTGGATCTCGCCAGGATTCTCGCGTCTCTTCTCCCGATTTCTCTAGTCTCTGTTGGTTTATCCCTAGCTCTTTGAAGCTTTTGGTGGCTTGGCAGGGGGTTTTAATTGGTCTAATTCCTTGAATGCCTTTGGCAATGGTGGCTTGGTTGGGCGTGGCTGGGAGTCGGTGATTTCTGCTTATTTTTTTGGCGCAAGATGAAGCTGATTTGCATGGTTAGGTTGACCTTTTCTGGAATGGTTACTGGGTATATGATGATTGTGCATTAAATGCACAACCCACTGGCCATGTCCTGTTCATCGAGAGAATGGGGGCTGTTTTTCTGGGGATTTGATGTTAAGTTGGTTTCGGACCAGATACTCTGGTTTGTTGCTGCCCCAAGTTGGTAATTTGGCGTCTAATTTCATTAGGAAATTGTCAGATGAGTTTACTATTCCTTTCCCATTTGGCTTTTTTGCAATCTTAGTTCTTTTTGGTCTTTTCTTCCTCTGTTTTGTGTCAGCCCCCTGATATTTACTGGGATGTTTGTGGTTAGGGTGCATTGCTTGGTTTTATATGTTTTTAATTTTTTTCATAGGGATTTGGATGCCACATATAAATTTTTCCTGTTGTTATTATTTTCTATTGGAGCGAATTAGTTTGCAGGTTTGTTTGTTAGTATTTCTCCCTTCCATAATGTTTATGCGTCTTTTTTCCTCAGGTGTCTTTATTAATGTGTTGTTGCCTTGGTTTCTATTTGACCTTTTCTCCGTGGCTTTGTTGTGTGCTTCTGTACTGACTAATAGTTGTTTATTGGGTGCTCATTATGTTTTTCTTCAGGGGATTGAAGCTACTTCCATTTTTTATTGGTTGTCTTCCTTGCTATTTTCTCATTCTAAGGTAGTTAGTTTTCTATTAGTTTTACCGTTCAAGACTCAAGTTTGGTGCAATTTCTTCTTTGTTTTGATGTTGGTCGAGAAGAAAGGATTAGTTTTGCTTAATAGCATGTGCCATTGTGCAGGGAAATGGTCGGGATTGTCTTCGAAACTACTGCCTATGCTGTCTTTTTGTATGTCTTCTTTAGTCCTTTGCCATCTTGGTTTATGTCAAGTTTGTGTGGGGAAGTGGATCATATACAAGCATTTGTCAAGTTTCACATAGTTAACAAGGCAGCTCAATGTTTTTTTTAATTAAGTGACGTGGTTAGGAAGCAATTAAGCCACATGCCTGGAAAATAAAAACAGACAAACAAATTTAATCTAAAATTGATGAGAAACTGCTTCATGTGCCGTGTTCTTTGCTTTAGAAATCGATCCCTTTGAGTTTGTGTCTGCTTTTGTTGGGGGAATGTGCTGGTGGTGGTTTTGCTAGCTGATGTGAGGCGTTTGGGATGAGAGATAGTTGTGGTGTTTTCAGACAAGCTAAGTAGGGTAGCTTGTGTTGTCTTTGTGCTAGATGTAATGCAGAAAAATAATCACACATGGCTACTTTTCTTTGTCGTGATGGTTCAACCTACACTGCTATTTGTATTATCTCTTGGCTGTTTTTTTGGCTTGCACATGTTCCTGTCATTGATTAACATTTGTGTGTGTGTGATTTTATTGGGTGTCATTTTATCCCCCTCCCTTTTGTCATTGTTTTCAAATCATTTTTGTTCCATGTGCACTCTTCGTTTTTTTCTTTCTTGATCATGGGTTCTATTTTGTTGCGCTACATTTTTCCTCTCCATCTTTGCTCAATTTGTATCTCTGTGGCTTATTCTTGCCTCTATTGTTTGCTGTAGTTTTTCACAGTTTTGCGTCAGAGGGATTGCTGTGGTGATTTTAGTCTCTTTCAGGTCTGTTTATTTCTTTCGTCCTCACCTTTGCTGTCCTGTTTTGTTTTCATGTATTTGTGCACTCTCGGTGCCTTGCTTGGTGTTGATTACATCTCTACTTTGTGTGTCGTGGCTTGGCTGTTCGTTTCTTCCTCTTTCTCTCTTGTTGTGTCCTGCCTTGTTGGGCAATAATTTACAACTATGCTTGCCTCTTTGGAGAGCAAAATCTGCTGCTGTCAGAAGAAAGTTGAGAGAGAAATATCAAGGTTGTTATTTTGTTGTTGTTAATATGAATTAAAAAAAATGCCCTTCTTTTCATTCAAGGCTCTACTTAGCTTGTGTTGTTATCATGCTTGTTGTCTTTGAAAGATCAGTGCGGTGTGATAATACCGTGCTGTTGTGAACTCCGTTTGATAGATGCTGGATGGGCAGATTTGTTTCATAGTATGAGCTGTTTGTATCTAGAGCTGCATGATGTTGTTGCAGTGGTTGTTTTTATTATTGGGTCCTTATATTTTTATTTTTCTCACAAATAGGTCCTTAATTGTAGCTCTTTTGGTCTTCATATTAATTTCACGATTTTGTCCATGAATGAATTTATTTTTTAATTAAGTCCCTTAATGTCCATGTTAGATAAATAATATAATAAACTACAAGAAACAGTTTTTAAATGAAAAAAATTACTAATTTCAGTACAAAAAAAAAAACTACCTTTACTCAAGTGGAACTTGAAATTATGCTATTTAATAAAAATCTACGGGTTATTAATCACAAGAATGGCCATTTTGGTTAAAATTCTCTGTGCTGTTATCGTCAAGTATTCCCAACTTTTAATACCTTTTGTTTCTCACACATGTATGCGTACATCAACAGAAAACAATAAAACGTGCTGGTTAAACATTTTAGAAAATATATTAACATGGACACAAAAAAAACTATTCATTGTGATGGTTAAAATATGATTTTGTCATTTGAAGAAAATTCAAGTGTCTTAATTTTGAAGATGATGTGATATTTTCTGATGATAAATTGGTAATTAAAAATTCTTCAAAGGTTATTTTTGTATTTTTAACTTTTTTGAATAGTTAAAGTACTTGTTTATGTCTAGAAAATTATTGAACTGTGAGGCAAGGGTATATCTGTTTTCTGGTTCTTACAAAATATTAAAATAATTTTTTTGCTCTTGTACTAGGAAAAGTTTAAAGCAAGTGTTTAGGGGTGATAAGATATTTTATCTTACTAGAAGGATATTTTGATTAATTTCATAATAATAGAAAATATTTTGAAAATTTTACATTTAATAATTAACTTTTAAATCAAAAAGTTTTAGGAGTTTGGGCTTCACGTGTTAGTGCGAGGAAAGCACTCATGATTTTTTGTTCACATTTATTATTTTTGAGCAATGCGTGTGATATCTCTTGATGGTTAAATTTTTTGTTCTTTCATATCTTTAAAAGCTCTGACTCAATCTTTTTCTCTTTGTATAACGCATAATGATGGATGATAAATAGTTTGTTGTCATTTGTTGTTTTAAAAAATGCATGTCTATTCTCTTTTGTTTTTTTTTTTAATTAGCTTTTTTTTTATTGCGTATTTTCATTCTTGGCCCTTGAAAGAAGTTTTTTTAACTTTTTTGAATAGTTAAAGTACTTTTTATGTCTAGATTAGAAAATTATTGAACTGCGAGGCATGGGTACATCTGTTTTTTGGTTCTTACAAAATATTAAAATAATTTTTTTGCTCTTGGACTAGGAAAAGTTTAAAGCAAGTATTCAGGGGTGATAAGATATTTTATCTTATTAGAAGGATATTTTGATTAATTTTATAATAATAGAAAATATTTTGAAAATTTTACATTTAATAATTAACTTTTAAATCAAAAAGTTTTAGGAGTTTGGGCTTCGAGGAAAGCACTCATGATTTTTGTTCACACTCATTATTTTTGAGCAATGCATGTGATATCTCTTGATGGTTAAATTTTTTGTTCTGTCATATCTTTAAAAGCTCTGACTCAATTTTTTTCTCTTTATATGACGCATAATGATGAATGATAAATAGTTTGTTGTCATTTGTTGTTTTTTTCTCTTCCATAAAAAAATGCATGTCTGTTTTCTTTTGTTTTTTTTTTAATTAGCTTTTTTTGTTTTTGACTACATATTTTCATTCTTGGCCCTTGAAAGTTTTTTATATATATATTTTTAATTTAGTCCTTAAATTATAATGCGTCATATTTTTTTTCTTCAATTCGCTCCTTATTCTTTTGGTTTTTGATTTTGTCATTCAATCAAAGTTCATGTTTTTTTTTTTTTTTTCAATTTAGCACTCATTCTTTTAATTTCTTTTTCCTTTTGTTAAAGTTCTTTTCTTTTCAATTTTACCTTCCTTTAATTATAATTTTTTTAATTATTTTTTTATTTTCACCTTTATTCTTTTAATTATAGCTTTTTATTTGATTGATTTTTTTTTTCGGTTTCATTCTTCAATATCTGATTTGTTTGGGGTTGGGCATCATGATTTTTTTTGTTTGTCATGTTTCTGATCTAATAACACGAGTCACGAGATTTATGATTTAATCTGGTTAGAAATTTTTTTTTCTTATTTTTTTATGATTTTATCATTCTACATTATTTGTTTATATAAAAAGTTTGTTTTGTAGTTATCTTTAATTTTTTTTTAAATTGATTTATTTCAGTATCATGACCTAAATCATGAATTTTGCATGTCTTTTTTGGATAGAGGCTTTTTTAAAAAATTGTTTAGTTTTGTATTTAATTTTTAAAGAATTTCTTTTTATTTTATAAAGATATGATTTATTTTATAAAAAATATTTATTTTGAAATAATAATTCTAATATATCTAGCCTTTTATAATATTTATTTTCTTTTTATTTTATTCACTCAATTTCATATGTATTTTTATTTTTATTATCTTTTATTAATTTTAATAAACAAATTAGTAGACACAAACAAGTAAATGTCTCATTTTGTGAGAGCAAGCATTTTGATCTACAACCATCTCTTAATTTTTTCAGTATTTTTTAAGTTGTTGTTAATAATTTTTTTGTTTATTTATATAGATGATTATCAATTTATTTGATTAGATGTTTGAATAAAATTTTTAATTTACACTTTAATTTTTTTATGTAAAAAAATATATTGAAATAGACTGCATACTTAGTGTTTTTTTTTTTTTTATAAAAAAAATTTATGACTTACGGCAAAGCATAGGTTTATATTTATATATAATGAAATAGTTAAGGAAAAAGGCAAAAAATTTATATTTGTACGTGCACATACACAAATAGTTGCGCACAATATGTATGGAAAAATAAGTTTATTGAATTTATAAAAGCATTAATTAAATTTGTATCTTACGCAATTAATATAGATTTTGTAATTTAGTTTTAATTAATTTTGATTAAATAGAATCATCTTTGACTGTATAAAGTCAAATTATAACATCACATATTCACATATCAAAAGTTTAATAATAAAGCAAGTTGATAAATCATCAAATAAGATAACATTAAAACTTATATTTAAAGAATTACCATAATAGAAATTCAATCTAGTTGACTAAAGATCACAAAATTTAGATTCAAAAGAACATTCAAATCTTATATCAATTCAGTATTAGCGTTTTTATGCATTCTTATAAAAAATAATGTTGCCAACATCGATTACTAGAATAAGCTTAGGTTTTAATGTTTCTAAATGGAGTATTTTATGACACTTTTAATAATAAATCATCTACACAAGTGTGAAACAATTTTATTTCTATAAGAACAAAAAATACTAAATTTTTTAAAGCATTCATAAAAACTATAACTTGTTTGTGGTTAAAGGAAACACAACCATGAAAATAAAAATTTTATGAAAAGAAATTATGTGATCTTTATTGTTTAGATACACATAAAATATTGAATAATCAAAAGCATCATATTCACTTTTTTATTGGCTAGGAAAAGTTTAAAGTCAAAAGCTACATCACCTAATGTAGATACTTTTCATTATTACTCTCTCTCTTTATCTCTTTTATGTCTACTTTATTGATGTTTTTGAACAAAAAAATTCTATTCTAAGTGAATAGATTTGTATTTTTTTAAAGAAAAGGGTTTTGTCTTTTTTTTAATACAAAAAATAGTGTATTTTCAAATAAAAAACATAATTTAACTATTTGAATTGTTCCGATATAGATTTCAAAAGGGAACCTATATATATATATATATATATATAATTTCAATAGGAATTCTATATTCAAAATACGATTCCACATAAAATTCACTATCTTCTTAATCATGCCTTCCTTCTTGTGAGTGTTGATCTTCGAGTTAGAGTGTCTTCTGTCTGATTCAGACTGATTGGATCACTGAACTTGGTTCACTAACGAAAGAATTTGCTTTCTCTAGGAAAGGAAGTTTCCATGCCATTCGTCTAGCTCCCCCCGAATTCAAAGGATTTTTTATAACGAGAATTTCCTCCAGACTTAAACTTAAGGGTAGTTCTCTAGTTTTTAGGACTTTCCTCCAGACTTAAACTTAAGGGTAGTTCCCTAGTTTTTAGGACTCGAGGGGGCTCCTCTTCTAAAGGCTCGGGGGGAAGACTTAGATCGGGTAACCCCTCGGGTGCCATTCCAAATAGAGTAAGTAAAGAATTTCGTCCTGGTTCGGAATCACAAGGCTGGGGCGGTTGCTGGGAAATAGCATTAGTAACACGGGACTCGTGAGACAAGAAGACAGATCTTTCATAGCAATCTATTAAGAGCGCTTGGGCAGCTGGATCGAAGGGCAAGCGGAAGGTAGAACCTATACTTTGATGACAAAAAATGGAAAGAAGGATGCAATCACGAATCTCTTTCTAAGAACCGGGGCCCATACTCATCCAGCACTCGAAGATATCTAAATAGAAAGGGATGCTCTCGCCTAATAGAAGCCCTAGGAGGATCATCTCCTTGAGATGCTAAGAATCGAGGGTAAAGAGTCCTTAGCCCGACTTCTTCATCTTGACTACTGATAGTGCCAACACACTCCTTAGGCCGAACCAACCAATGGTCAAAGTAATTGAAATTAACCCTATATTTTTTTTTATCTCTCTTGTTAAATATTTCTTCTTACATATATTTTTAAGAGCGTGATGTTTATAAATTTAGGTCGCGAGTGAGATTAAAGTATTAAGTAGATTTGGGAAATAATATTGCAATCAAACTATAAGCATAGGAGGAGAAGTAGTAAATTGTTTTAAGATTAAAAGATTAATCCTTCCCTCAACCTATATTTTCAAATTTATATTATGTAAATAAATACTATAGATTAAATTTTTTTATATGATTATTCATATTTGTCTATATATATATTTATTTGTATTTATAAAAACTTATAGAAGAACAACATGAATGTCCATCTAGTTTCAAAATTGTTTAATTTAAAGGATGCTAATGCAATATTGGAAATCTTAGTAACTGAAACTAGTTAATTATCTCATTTGGGATTATTACAAGAGAGGAAGTTATAATGATAAATCAAGATATTCTCTTGCGCTCTTATGCCAGGTCCAATGATTTCGTAGTAGGTTATTTAAACCGCAAAGTAGTGGATAAGGAATACTAGTAAATTGTTCAGGAATAGAAACAAAGTAAAAGTAAAACTAATTGGCCTAGAGGCTTGAAAGGAGAATATATATATATAGTAATAAGTTTATATATATTTGAGATATTATAATGAAGTTATATGACTATAATAATAATAATTATATTTTGAATTAAACTAAATAATTGTTATTCAATATTATCCTAATAGTTGCAAATACCAAAACTAATAATAAAAATTAAAAGAAATAAATTCAAAAAAGAATTAATCTTACTAAAAAATTAAGTCCCAAGTTTAAAGTAGTGTTGAATGCTATCTTTTGATATTATACATATCCATATAATAGTATTAGAAAGCTCATTAAGAGAGCCTATCCACACTTATCCACCATAGCTTTCACTCAATTTACTATACAATAAAAATTCACACTTATAAACATTTACAAATTACACCAACAGTCTCTCACTAGTTTGCAATGAATGTTTTTTCACTTGATAGAATTATACTTATAATAAGATATTTTGTAATTTAAATCTCTAATTAGTTTTAGAACTTGAATCTTGCTAAAGTTATTGATATCTGTGGATTAAACCAAAAATTTTAGTGTAAAATAAAAAAATACTATATACACAATACTATCCAAACTCTTAAAAAGATTTACAATTGTTTAGCATTTATTATGACCATATGCTAAAATCTCATTTTCATGAATATTTACAAAAAAAAAACAATTATAAAAAATAGTATCACTTCTATATTCATATATATAAAATTATATATGTCTCTGTTATATTAAACATAAACTTTAAATTTCATTAAGAACCTATGATCATCCTTTTTTATATAACACAACAAATTGAATACTATTAGAACATATTTCAAAATTAATTATCAATGTCCAACGTATATTAAACAGTAACTTGTTATTACCCATTAAACTTAGAGATAAAGTTTCTTGCTAAAGTTGGGTTTCCATTACCGGTATTTTTAATAATGAGTTTTAATCTCATTTCACTAGTTGTTTTCTTTACCATATCTCTAAATAGTCTTTTTGGGAACGAATTAGCTAAATTATTCATATACTTCACATCGACAATAATGATTATCTCATTTGTAATCAATTCTTAAACATATCCATATCCAATACTTATATGTCTTGATTTACCATTGTAGATACTACTATAAGCTCGAGACATAGTTACTTCACTATCATAGTTTAAAGAAAAAGCTGACATAGATTATGATTACACCTTAATATCTAACAATAGACTTCTTATTCTTTCTACTTCTTTATCCGCAATAATCATAGCAATAAATTCCAATTTCATAGTAGAATGAGAGATGCATGTTGTTTCTTAGATGCCAAAGATAATTGCACCTCCTCCGAGTGAAAAAATATTCATTTTGATATTGATTTATTATCACTCAAACTAGTTATTCAACTTGCATCATAATATCTTTTGAACATGACTAGAAAATCAAAATAAAACAAACCTAAATTGATCATTTTTTTTTTAGATAACCAAAGAATGTTGCAATAACCTTCCAATGATCCGTATTCGAATTGCTTATATATCTTATTAACTTACATTTCCAGTTTTGTTCAATAAATAACATATATAAGACTTTCAATGACACTAACATATTCTCTAGTTGTGATATCTAATTTTGTTCAATGCATAATATATATAAGACTTTTAATGACATTGAAATATTCTTTAGTTATGTTATTGTTTTATCACAATTATCATTTAACTTCACATTAAAGTCAAATGAGTTATTAGACTTTTTTATATTGAGAATGTTAAAATTTATGAATATTTTTTTAATATAACATGACTAATTAAGTGCATAACTAATATTATATTTCTTAACTTTGATACCTAAAATTGTATTCATTTCACTGAGATCTTTCATTTTAAAAATAAAAATGAGATTCTTTTTTATTTCAACTATTCCAATCATATTGGTGCTAGAGATTAACGTATCATCTATATAGAGACAAATAATCACACTAAAATCTTTTATAAATTTAGAATAAATGCATTTCAACACCGTTATGATGAAAACTATTTAACAAAATTTCTTTATTAAATTTCTTATATCACTGTTTTGGAGCTTGATTTAAATCATATAAACACTTTACCAATTTATATATTTTTTTCTTATTTTTAGGAAGTATAAAACCCTTTAAGTTGCTCCATACATACTTTCTCCTAAAGGTTTTATAATCTATAAATTGATGCTAAAATAATTAAAACTCTAATGGATGTAATTCTTTTAATTGGAGGATAAGTGTCATAATAATCAATACCCTTCTTTTGAGTAAAACCTTTGACAACTAATATTACCTTAAGGTTTGTATGGAATAATCAATATTATATTTTCTTTTAAACACCCATTTAAATTTAATAGAACCCAAGTATTATTAAATAACGTTAAATCCATTTCTTTCTAAACGACAACATTCCTAGAAGACATAGTTTCATAGAATGTCTTTGGATAATCTTTTACATTTAAGATCATAGGTGTTATTTTCATTATCGTGTTTTTATCATCTTCCACTAAAAATACAATTAAATAAATAGAAATAAAATTTATATCTAAATGTTTTTCCTTTTAACTCTCTTAAAGTTCACTTGAACTTATTACTTTCAGGTTTTTATGTTTTTCACTTTAAATTAAGATAAGAGTCATCACTATTAGATCTGGTTCTTACATATTTGAATTACTTATGAATTTATTAAAATAAATTCAACATGTACATATTTAATTATCATATTAGTTTCTAAAATCAAAAACCTATAAGTTTTTGAATTTTATGCATAACCAACAAAAATATTTTTAAGTCCCTTAGGTTCTAATTTTATTCTTTAAGCATAAAAAACTTTATAAAAAGCCACACACCCACATATTTTAAAATAATTTAAATTTTATTTTCTACTATTTCATATTTTATAAGGAAAAACATGTAATTTTTTAGATGAAACTCTATTATAAATATGACATGTAGTAAGCAAAACTTCACCTCATAAATTATTTGGTAACTTAATATTCAAAAACATGTCATTGACCATATCCACTAAAATTCTATTTTTCTTTTCAGCAAGTCCATTATATTTTGGTATATATGGTGCGGTCATTTGATGAATTATTCTATTTGTTTTACAAAATATAGAAAACTTCCTAGAAAAGTACTTACAACCTTTATCACTTTTAAGAATTTTAATTCTTTTTTTCTTTTGATTTTTATTAAAAATATAGAAAACTTCCTAGAAAAGTACTCACAACCTCTATCACTTTTAAGAATTTTAATTCTTCTTTTTTTTTTTTTTTTCTTGAATTCTTTGAATTTTTCAAAGGTTTCTTTTTTATTATCAAATGCTATTAATATTATAAATATTTATATAATAACAATAAAGAGTTCATTAGGAAAACTCATCCACCATAACTTTTACTCCATTGACTACATAAAAAAATTGATACTTATAAATACTTAAAAAACAATGTTTGTTTTCAATATAAAATAAAAATATTTTTTTACTTTATTCATTTACAAACAAACTTGAGCTGAAAAATGATATTTGAAGTTTCCTAAATAGATAAAACAGATTATTAGGCGATGCTGCTCAGGTGCTATAGCGGTAAGGAATAACTTGAGCAGTAGAGGGTTCCAAGTATAGGATCGATGACCATTTTGCCGCCAATCTTAAACTGTTCAGCACCTGTTCACTACCTGTGAAGTAGCTAGGATTGTTTGGTTCATTTCTTCGCTTTAATCGGATATGAGGGGAATTAGCAGTGACTCCTTTTTTTTCGACTGGTGGCTTTTCTAGCTAAGAAATATGGGAAGTCCCTTGATGTGGGTTTCTGATGCAGAGGGTAGCTTTAATTGTATGGCGGATTTGGAAGCATAGAATGATGTAATCTTTGATAACGCTCACCCTCCCTATGCTTGTCCTGGTCCTAGCTGATGCACAACTTGTGGAATTCGTTGCTGCAACGGAGTCCATGGATTTATCTCTTGTAACCTCTCCTGTTCAGAATATTGATAACTCCTATCAGTGGAGATCTCCTGAGCTAGGGGTTCATTAAATGTAATGTAGATTCTGCTTGGGTTCAGGACTCAAAAACGTGTTGGAAGTGGGTGTGTGCTCAGGAATATGCATGGTGGGTTTATTCCTGCAAAAGCTGTCTTCAATTCCAGGGTGGCTAGTCCTAAAGCAATGGAGGCTATTTCCATTAAGTAAGCTCTTAATTAGTTGGATAAAGTGTATGGATCTGCAACAAGTGGAGATTGCTATGGAGATCAGCGAAGGTCAGCAAGCTGGGATGTAGCAGCTTATGCGATAGACTTTCTTCTATGCTGGAGAATGTGGCATCTCCAAAATCAATCATGTTCGGCGTCATATCAAGCCAGCTGCTCATAACATTGCTCGTCATGTGTCCCAGAGTTCTTCTGTAGTTGTTTATTGTGATAGCCTTCCTCCTTGCTTTAACGGAAGAGCACCTTTGACTTTGTACTTGGGTATTTTCTTCTTTGATAAATCCCTATTATCGGTGGTAAAATATATATATATATATATATATATATTTATTTATATATATATTATTTTTGCTTCTTACTCCATTGCCTTTTAATTTCTTGTTACTAGCATATCAAATTAGAACCCACTAGCTTCCATTATTGTCTGGACTTAACAGCACACTTCTTAATTTCAAATGACCTGTTTAACCTATATCAGTAGTCATAATTCCAACTCTGTAGGCATATTCATGAGATCAGAAACAAGATGAATCCGAGCATGGACGATGAGGGGTCCAAGAGTTGGCCAGCAGCTGATGAATAAGTTAAATTGGTGGGGGTATTGATGGATGGAACTTCTTGAAAAATAGGAAAATTTGTAATAGAATTTAATAACATTTTTTAACAACGTGTTTTTTTAAAGCCAGCTTGAGACTTTGATAGCTTTCTTATTCTCTAAATGTTGCAGGAATTTTCAATTTGGATGCCCAAAAATGGGCTTGCCGTATTTCTAAAGTTACAGCATAGAAATGTGGATCTCTATTACCATTCAAATTCACGGCTTCCAAGGCTTGAGTGTTGTCTTCATTAGTAGCATAATGATCATATCCAAAATAACATTTATTTGATTTGTAATTATCGTGATGATAAATTTAACAAACTGCTTTATCGTGATTTTGATTTTGCTTGCTTGGGTTGTCCTCTCCTATTTTCATTGTTGTAGAACTTAATTTCCTTGATTTGAAAAATTGCATGTTTGGATGTTGTTGCTAGAGTGATTCTGATTGAAGAAGTTTGGACCTCTTCCTCCATGATTTCCTCTCCCTCTTCAAATGTATTCATCAAATGAGAAAAGTACCCTTGGACACGCTGTAGCGTGCATTTTTCAATTGAGCCTCAGTTTCTTCGATGTTCGGAAACAACTGCTCTCGCAGAGAGAGTTCCAAATAGAATAAGTTGTATCCCCACAACAGATCATGCTCAGGACATCTTCTTTCTCATTTGCTAACAGCCACAAACTAATGAGGCCATCATTACTAATCCAAAGGAAGTATTTGAGCTCTCCAAAAGAGGAAATTCGTAGTGGTGAGCTTGATGAATGGATTGGAAGGGTTCCTCAAGGAGAGTTTTTGGAGCTTGAGGAATTTAGCTCTGATACATATTGAAATCAAAGATCAAGAAGCTTAAGAGCTCAGGTTTGTGACAAAGAAGAAGGCAGCCTAGATTGGACGCAGACTGCCTAGTTCATTTCATAGATTGCTCACCGACTCAAGTGAACTATTTGTTCGTTTTATATACAGCAGGATGAACTTAGAAAACAGGAGGTGCTCAAATACTAGGTGCATGTTCTAAAGAGACAGGATGTCCATATATAGTGGACTTTATTGATGACGAACTTACTTCTAGAGGGCATGTCCGAAATCTTTGACTAGCTCATTAGAGGGAATGGTAATGGCATTTGTAGCTGTGGTTCTTTCTACCGCTGATCTCTTTCACATGGATCTCAAGAAAACCCTCAGGTTGTTGTGCCAAATGGGTTGCATTCCACATTCAATTGAATGAGACATAAGGTCCATGGTTGCATTCCACATTCGATTCGGTCTCTCATCTCCTTTGTAAAAGGGAGTCGGTAAAGCAATCCGCATGGAATTTGATCTCTCTCGTCCACCATATAAAAGACTCGGATTGTTGGAGAAACTCACCGTCTTTTGTTGATATTAAGGGATTTGTTCAAATATTTTTTTAAACCAAAACTCAGACCACACCTGCCGAAATAGTTAGAGAAACTCACTGTCTTTTGTGTTATATTTGTTCCTCTGGTTCTTATGATCTAAAACAAGAAGAGAAGAAGAAGGCAGATCTAAAACAAGAAGAGAAGAAGGCAGCGATGGCTAAACATATCAGGGCTTTAAAGTCAATTGTTGATGACAATGATGAGTCTTATGCAGTCCAAAAAGCCCTCGCACAATTGACAGAGGAGTTCTTCAGAGAGAACACACTTCTTCTCAACGTTTGTCTTCTGAAATCGACCTTGGAGGTCCGAAGAGATGCCACTCAAGTTGTTGCAAATCTACGAAGGCAGAAAGTTCAGTTGCGATTGATTGCATCAGAATACTTGCAGAAAAACACCGATGTTTTAGATCTTTAGGCAGCAGGTTGTGGAGACATAGACATGGCTCACCATTACGGTGAAATGATGATAGCGTGCTTGCGTCACCAGAGTGCTGGTATTTAGTTTGGCATCATCACAAAGAAGCAAAACTATTTTAGATACAACTTCAGAACCTGCCAACGCCATTTTTTCAAACGATGTCAAGCCGGCAAGGAAAAAATGTATTTATCAAAGCATTTTATGTCTTGATTCAACAGTCAACCTACCGTGAATCTGGAACCAACTTTGGATGTTAATACCCTGAAAGATCCAGAGCAATTCTTCTTGGTTTTTGAAAGGCTTGGAGATGAGATGCACATTCTTTTTTTTATGAATATATTTTATAAAAATACTTCGAAAAATAATTGCTATTACAGTTTTAATTTTTTTAATAATAGCTTAGGAAGTGCTGACTGTTGTATAGAATAAAGAAAAAAGATGATGCCACTTAAAATGCCGAAGTTGCCAGTGGTGAGGACCCTCCGGTTTCAGAACCAATGGATTTTGGTCAAGTACTTCAGAACTTATTTTATTACTCGAAAATTGCGTGGGGAAAGCAACGGCTAAACAATCTTAAATTTTGCTCACTGTTATAATTTCTTCTGCATTTCCAGCTAACAATGCCGCGCTGGTGCTCTAGCAGCATAATTCCTGAGACAAGGCAATAAGATCCATCTATAAATGACCTTCGATGCCATTCTTAAAACCTCTACAAAGAACACAAGTTTCACAGACGACAGAATAAGCCAACTGATCCTTATCAGGGTACATAACAAGGCTGATTTAGGATGGTGGAATTTATTATGTCCTCCGCACTTGCATGCAAACAAACTAGCTGAATTTATTTCCTGGCAATGCCAGTCAAGCAAGGGTGCTCTCAGTACCAACAAACCACAAGAAGAAGAAAATAATGAACAAAGAAGACACGATATCATCCACCACGAGCAGATATTGAACAAAGAAGACACGATAGCCACAACAGTCAGGAGTAATCATCTTCTTTACCCATTTATTTTATTAAAACTAATACAATAAGCTATTCAGTAGCGACATGGGAAAGAACATGAAAAGGCCCCCAGTATTGCACAGCTAGGAGCAGAAAGGAAACTCATTAAATGTTACACAGAATCAGAGACAGAATTATACAATGTTAAGCACTACTGGCCGACATGGTGTCCTCATCTTCACTGTCTTGATGAATTTTGGCTATCTCTGCCTTTGCTCTCTCAATAATTTGCCTCTTTTCCATTTCCAAATCCCTCTCAAAATCCATCTTCATCTTCTCTAGTTCCAACATCTGCTGCCTTTTACTACTCTCAATCTTCTCATAGATCTTACTAAATTTCTGAATAGAATCTGCAAGCAAACCAAAAGAGGACTGCTCATTGCAGTTTCTTGACTCTCTTCCAAGCCTTCTCTTCTTGGGTGGGAGCCCATCCGAATCATCCTCATCATGTGCTGATTCCGAATTCCCTGGACTATCCCGCATCCCATCCAATCCATTGGCATGGTTTGAATATGCATTCGGGTTCATGAAAACATACTCTCCCGAGTCCAGCCCACAGGAGAGTCCACCTTGCTGAGCCGATGTCGACATTAGAATATCCAACTTCTTGAAATAAACCCATTTGCTAGCACCACTGCCTCCCTCTGCTAATTTAATCTTCTCGATTTTGTACTTCTTTTTCAATGTATCCAATCGATTCCTACATTGCGTGTCTGACCTCTCAATCTTTGATTTCTCTGACACCTTCTCTGCAACTTCTTGCCATTCGTCAGATCGAAGACTCTTCTTCCCACGTTGCAAGAACTTATCACCCCAAGCATCTAGCAAAACGAATGTTTCACGCTCAGTCCAGTCTGTAAGCGGATTGCGTCCACCAACTGATGGTTTTGGCCCTGCTGGAACTGCAACAGGAGGTGCTGGAACACGAGGAGCAAATTCATAACTTGAAACTAAACTCTTTAGCTTTAGCTTTTTCGGATGCCTTTCTATATCGCCATCATCATCATCATCATCATCATCATTGTCTATCCTCATATTATACTTTTCATTATCATCCTCATCCTCCTCTATTCTCCTATTGTACTTTTGATTATCATCCTCATCCTCTTCATCATCAACACCCTCCTCCTCCTCCTCCTCATCCACATCTACATCTTTTCCCCCATAATGGAGGCCATTTTTCTGATTATTCTCCCCATCTTCCACTCCTAATTCATGTTCATCATCATCTTCTTCTTCTTCTTCTTCTTCATCAGCGATCTCATCTTCATCAATGGAATATTGATCATCAACTTCCCTAAGATACATAGCATTGCCCACAAGAAGTTTGTGACGATTAGAACCATAACTCTGCTGGTTGTTATCCCCATATGGATTTGGTGGGTACCTTGCATCATCTTCAGTATCGTCCATTTTTAAAGCACACTCTAAACTCAACAATAAGAAAATCTAAATGGTAACCACAAGTAACTCTCGAGACTAACTCTAAATCACTGATTTCATCCAATCAAATAATCAAAACAACTCACACCATAATTTTTTCCACCCAGATCAATGTCTCAATCCCAAATTCAAATTCCATTATTTTTTAAGAAATCAATAATAGATTCAGCATCGCAAACCCCATGACTGTCACCTATCAAATCACCTTCCAAGATTTCATAATTTAACCAAATCAAGTTCCAAACAGAACATATCTCACAAAATATTGCCGAAAAGTAATCTCATTTACCACTTCTAAATGACCATATACACCAAGAATGTATCGCAAAATTCCAGGAAAAAAAAATCAGTATTTTCTCTCTCTCGAGATCATTAACTTCACCACCAAAACAACCAAGTATCAAACTTCCTATTTCAAAACACTTAAATTA